TTTGCAGTTAGTTGTGGGGGGATTTTTCTCCACTGAATTCACCGCCGACACCCTAGCATGAAGAATTGTTTTATTTATTGAGGAAGACGAGGACGAGGACGAACAACAGCACAAAACATGCTTAACAGCGCGTGCGAGAGAAAGAGACTGCCTGAATGACTGAGCGCGTCCTCCATCAGGTTAAGTCATATTCATAAAAAAATAGTTTGCGATGTCCTAAGAGTAATGTTGTGGTAATATCCTAATATCCTTTCAATTTTTAAGGGTAGTGTACTCCCCCATGGCTTGCGTCAGCATTGGTTAATGCATTGATTTCTATAAAGGGAAGCATCAACTTCAGCTTTTCCCCGTTGTTTATCCCAGCGTTTACCCCTCAGTCACTAGCTCCGCCCTTGCGCCATAGCTCGTGACCGGAAGAGAAGATGGGTCGTTTAGAGGGAGAGGGGAGGTTAACGTTTTTGATTAAAGATTACGAGGGCACATCAATTAAAAAAAAAAATAATGAAGTGCACGGATAAATTATTTATAAAAAACACTACAGTATTCCATTACAAAATAAGAATTTTCAATTTTGATTTCATGCCGACTTTTAAGTAGTTGCTTATTATTAGCATGCTTATTACTAGCATATTGGCTGTTTATTAGTACTTATACAGCACATATTAACGCTTTATTCTGCAGATGCCCCCCCCCATATCAGTAGTCATAGAATCCCGAATGTAATTTGGAGCAAGTGTCAGACAAAATAGCAGATTCAGCGTTATGGTTGGTCAGATCGCCTCTTAATCAAACTCCCTGTGAAGGGTCAATTGAAGATCTGGCAAACTATCCCATGTGTATTTGTGTTTGGGCTCTGGACAGCGTCAAAAGCTACTATTTACAACGTGTTTTTGCAGCATTGAGCAATGTAGCCAATCACAGATGTATCTGTTGATTTCTTGAATGCAATGACCAATCAGAGGCGTTTTAGTTGGTCTTTTTGTCCAGTGCAGTTATTTAATTCTGGAGCTGTGCCTGGCCAAACCTTTACAGACAGTGCGTGTTCAGAGCAAGATCCAGTTCAAAGACCAAATATGTGTGTAAACTTTATTGAGATCTGGTCATATCAACCAGTAATTTCATTTCCAGCAGTTTATGAGTGGCTTGAATATAGTCCCACATCTGATCTTTTTTTTCTTCTTCTTCTTGATGTGTCTCTCATTTGGTGTCAACGAGTTCAAAACGGACATTGCATCGCCATTCAAAGCAGCAAGAGTCAAAACTAGTCCACAGTTTAGTAAACGCTGGCAACCTCTTTAAGTTATTATTGACTGTGCTGTATTGACTGCTTTGAAGTGGTGCAATAAGGTAGGACATTGTTTTGATACTTATATTAAAAACTTTTTTGAGAAAGAAACTTTGTGCAATTTTTTTGCTATTTTTTTCTGACTCAAGAGTTAAATGTCGCCCATGTTGGCAGCTAACAGTTGAAATAGGTAATTCAGTCCAAAATTAAAATATTGTAGAGTTGTTTCTCCAGCCCCCTCCTCCTCAGACTCGATGCCCATGCGGGTTGCCAGATTTAGGACCCGAAACAGGAACAAACACAATTGACAATAGAAGGCAACAAGCCTTACAATGTAAGTTAATGATTTGATTTATCCGTGTTTCAATATGCCTCAGGTCACATAGTTTTTTAGTTGGATGCCGAGGCTTTTTACGTCAGGTAGAATGTGCGATCGCTGACCCAGTTCGTTTGCTTCCATGGCTGTTTTACACTGTGTTTTCCACCAACTGGCATCCCAGGCTGTCATAATACTATTGGATAAATTGGCAGTGGGCAGAATCACACAAACCGAAACAAAAACAGACATTCTGACACGGAACACACATTTCAAAGCAGAATAACTGGCTGTTGCATTGTTTATCGGAGAAACAAGTATGTGAACTTAGCATGTTTCCTAAATATCTGCAAACATTTTTTACTTTTCAAATATATACAATTAAAAATAAAAAATAAATCAAAGACAAAACAAACTTAAATAACTGATTGGTTCCTCTAACCGAGCAAATCACAAGGAAACAGAAAGATATTATTCATATCATGTCCACTCAAGGTTTAGTCAGAACCAAAGGACTTTTATTACTTTCTTTCCCTGCACAGTGAAGGTACTAAAGTACTAAAAGTAAAAATCCGACAAAGAGAAAAGCTGTAACTCTAACACTGTCTCCTAACCACAACTGACTCAAAGGAACACTCAATAAAAGTCATATTTTACATGTAAATCTATGTTTTGCCAAAACAACAAGCAACAGGAATTTTTGTCGATAGCTTAGTTTCTATTTATGCTTTTCTATTTAAATTTTTTTAACTCGATTCAGACTTTTTGCCAGTTTCTTCCTCTCTCAGAATTGCAAGAAGAAAATGTCAGAATTGTAAGATGTTTTTCTTGCAATTCACAATTCTTTGTTCCCTCGGAATTCTATATCCAGATATATTCAGAGTTTATATCTCACAATTCTGAGTTAGGAAAAAAAAAGCAGATTTGTGATATATAAACTAGCAATTCTGAGAAGAAAAGTCAGAATTGTGAGATAAAAAGTCGCAATTATTTATTTATTAATTATCCTGTGGCAGAAACAAACTTCCATAAATAAAGAACTTAGCATGTTTCCTAAATATCTGCAAACATATTATGATATTTTTATGCTTTAATCCAGTCAAAACAATTACAATTACAGCACATTTAACCAAGGGTTTAAGAATGCACAGTGTGAAACGCCATTTTATGAATACCCAGGATTAATGGTTAACCCCGGGTAAATTATGAGCAGTGTGAAACGGGAAACATATTTTCACACATGAAATATAGTTCTATGCGGTTTGTTTGGAAAGTGTGATATTTTTTTTAAGCAATCAGCTGATATTTTTGCCTAGCAGACGAAACTTTTACTTTCGAGTTACTTTCAAGGAGCCACAACTCTTTTGACATCACACACGAGTCTTTCTACTCAATGACAAAAATCTAATAATTATATCATCTCTGGTAGATTGCAGAAAAAAAACAAAGACCGCTGGGCAGGAAAACTGAGTAGTATTATTAGTATGCATTATGCATGAAGAGGGATTTTAATATCTTCTAATTTAACTTTTTAGGGCTGATACCAAGAGACCGTTGCAACAATTTGATCAGAATACAATAGACATACAGGAAATGACTGGAGGGGTCCGCTGATGACATCATTGTGGCCTGATCAGAGCCAATGAAAAATACTAATGAGAAAATGATTAGGAAATCAAATTAGGCATAAAGATAACAATATATGTTTTGGCAAAGTCAGACGTGAGTTCAGACAGGATTAGAACAAGAACTAGAAAAAAATCATTATTTGTTTGCGTATTTTAGTTTTAAATACTGTAATACTACAAATGACTCTTAATAAAACAAGATTTTAAAGAGGCCAATGCTTTGAGTCAAGACTCCTCTGTCATATTAGGATGACTTCCAGTCTGCATCATGTCCTGATCCAGTTAGAGATACTATGTGTAATAAAGTCCAAATGGCCATAAAACAAAATGCAGTTAGCATGTGCACAAACACATGAAGCTTTAGTGTTCATGTGAGCAAAACAAGTCCAATTCTCTCTAACAACATTTCCAGGGCCCATTTACACTTTCTTTACAAATCTCTCCACTTAGCAAAAGTAATTTTTTTTTTTTAAAAGTCAAAAAGTAAAAAAAAATAAAATATTACCCTCGGAATTCTATATCCAGATATATTCAGAGTTTATATCTCACAATTCTGAGTTAGGAAAAAAAAAGCAGATTTGTGATATATAAACTAGCAATTCTGAGAAGAAAAGTCAGAATTGTGAGATAAAAAGTCGCAATTATTTATTTATTAATTATCCTGTGGCAGAAACAAACTTCCATAAATAAAGAGTTTATACACATCACTAAATAGTTGTGGTGGTAGAAGTGGAAGGGCAGGTGTATGATGCTGGATACACACTGAAACACAGTTCCTAAAGCAGACACACCAAATGCATTTACATTTCCCTGATTAAATTGACTCACTTAAGTCCGATAAGCTTTGGAAGTCTTGGCTCTCCAAGATCAAACACTTCCTATAATTCATAAGGCCATCTGTACATGAAGCCACATAGGCAGCTGAAACCTACAGAACATTTCAATAGGTACAGAGACCAGTGGAAAAGCATAATTAGTAATAAAGCAAACTGGTTCAAGTAGTGGCTGGTACAAGTACAGAATGTGACAAATGGTGTAATTTTGACAAATGTGACAATGTAATTTTGCTGTTTTTGTAGCGAGATGATCAGGACATGCTCATCATGTACCATACAACAAGAGAAGAATCATTTGATTATGCCAGTCATAAGCAGTATGATTATAATAACAATAGACTGTGATGTGCTGAAATGTAACGGGTATGAATATATTAGTGTGTGTATTTAGTCTCCAGTATTATTGGCACTTTTCAATTCACCTCTTTTAATGCGATCAATCATTCAAATATAAATGTTAAATTACAGAGCAATTACATAAAATATAAATTAGAGGCAAACGTCAATGTCTTGCGCTGTGGTATTTGTCATGTCAAGATGTTAATTACAAGTTATGCTGAATGGCAAGACCGATATTTTCAGGAAAATCAGAAATAGTGTTTGTATATGTGTGTGTGTGTGTGTTACAGACGTGTATTTCAAGATATGTGAGATGTATTGAAGGGATAGTTCACCCAAAAATCTAAACCCATGTGAACTTCTTTTCTTCTGAACATAAAAGCAGAAATTTAGCACAATGTTCATGCTGCTACTTTCCATAATATGAAATCATCCGGCTGTCAAGTTCCAAAAAAAGCACCATAAAATTCGGCCATAATTTTTGTGTATTACTATATAAAGGAAGGCTTGGGATGACTTGAGGGTGAGTAAATGACCCCATAACGACCCCATAAAATCCATAACCCCAGTGTGTTGTGGGTTGTGTGTGTGATTACCCAGTGAGCTCTTCTCCTGTGGGCTGAGGGACAAGCTCTGGCCTTCAGGCTGCTCAAATACAAGGAACTGATAGTGGTGGAGTCCAGTGCCTTGGGGTGGAGTGGGACGGGTGTATGCTAAAGACAAAAAAACAAGAACAAGTCTGTTTTAGAGCTCCTAATGAGTGTTCATTTAAATATCACCTACTGGAATCTATTTTCAAATGTTTTATGTCAGAAAAATAGGCTGAAGAAAATGTGAGAGCAGTGCTTCTCCACCACATGCTACAGTAGGGTGTTTTTTGGGTGGTTACTATAGACAGAAATTCTGATCAAAACACATTTGATCAACCTATAGAGGAAACTGTCGCCACTGTTTTAATTACAAATAATGTTGACTTTGATCAGTGTATTATTGTTGGATGATCGATTTCTGCTAAACTCTCCCCTGAATGGTGTGTAAACACAAAACAAACTGTGGTTGGTCGCTGTACATGTCAGTCAGATGATCTCATCTTGTCCGAGTGGGCGGTTCTTGGCCAGAATGAGCTGCAATGTGGATCTGACTTTTTGCCATTTAGTCAAAGGTCTGGCTACACAATACTTAAAAGATCCTGAGTTTAACATTTAGGATTAGAGGTTAGTTTCACTTCAAATATGCAGTTGCAATAACAATACATGCAAAAGAAAGAAACACAACACCGCTGACATCTCCCCTTTCTCTAGTGCTTCCCGCTGCAGAAAGACACAGGAGAGAAACAGAGTCTCAAAGACACTGCTGCACATGCACCATTGTCTCCTGTTCAACGCTTCTGAATGAAAACAACGAGAGCCCGGGGACGTGTTGTGATTTTCTCCTTCATTCATCACCGAGGGCCAGACAGCTTAACTGCGGCTCAGACCCTCCAGGAGCCTCACCTCACCCGGCTTAAATGTGTCGATGACAGGATCCGCCGTACTTAATATCCTCAGACAAAGCCAATTCCCAGGCAAATTAAGTGAGTGATTGGATTTCAAAATAGCAAATTCCCATATTATTAATTGTATATTACGCTTCCGTTGCCTAGAAACAGAGATTCACACTGAGCTTTCTATGAGTTTAGTTTTTTTCCTCCCCCAAAGGGCACTCCTATATTTGTCGTGTTTAAACCCATATCCTCAAGCAGATTTAATGCTGCACAGTTTGTAAATAGCCCACTGGAATGTCTAATGGATCTGATTCCTCTGTGCCGAGGCTACAGATTACTGTAGTTTAGTGAAAGTGACGTGACATGTGGCCAAGTATGGTGACCCATACTCGGAATTAGTGCTCTGCATTTAACCCATCCAAAGTGCACACACACAGCAGTGAACACACACACACACCGTGAACACACACCCGGAGCAGTGGGCAGTCATTTTTGCTGCGGCGCCTGGGGAGCAGTTGGGGGTTCGGTGCCTTGCTCAAGGGCACCTCAGTCGTGGTATTGAAGGTGGGAGAAAGCACTGTACATTCACTCCCCCCACCTACAATCCCTGCTGGTACGAGACTCGAACCCACAACCTTTGGGTTTTTTGGGCAGTTTAGCAGTTTAGCCTGCTTTGCTTCATACAGTAGCCTTGTGAGATAAAAGACAAAATAACATAAAGAAGCATAATAAAATACACTGAGATTGTACTCAAAACATATTTCCAATGGGAAGCCCCCGCTGATAAATACCTAGCATGGTTTGTCAGAGTGTCAGCAGTCTGTTGTTGTCAATCAAGCAGACCCTGCCATTGAAATGCACCACTCTCTATCGCCCCCTACAGGATGGACTGCATGAACAACGAGAGGTGGATCAGGGATGCATGAAATTGGGTGTAACACTGTACTTGTACTGCTGTCAATTGTTTGTAGGTAATTCACATCATAATTAATTAATGTGGGCCTATTCATTAAACATTATGAAATTTGATTTACTACATTATATATAAAAAAAAAAAACCTTGAAGTGCTTCAGGAATTTGTCTCTTGTGAATAAAAAAAATTGTCAAAAGTTATACCTATGTATTTAAAACTCTATTTAACCAAGTTGGGCTCATTGCTATTTAATGTCAATGCATTTTACTTCTGTATTTTGATATATTTACATGCGAAAAATGAGAAAAAAAGAGTAGGATGTGCTAGATTTTATCAACTGATTGGATGGTAAAGTGATGTCTAGGTAAGTCAAGGTTTAATACTGAAACAATCTGGTCTTTTCATAAGCAGAGTAAGTTATTACAGTTTGATCAAAAGATTATAAACACTTCTTTTCCTGTTGGAATAACATGCACTGATGATTCATGCACGGTAAGACCTGACATGTGTATTAATAAAGTAAACAGCATTTATTTTTAAATTATGTTGACTTTAAATATCTTTTACAAGAAAAACCTAGCCAAGAAAAGCAGTAAATAGATGTATACAACATAAAAGTACTTATATAAATATATAAAATGACGTCACATAATTACAGAGTCCACAAATGAACCAAGAGCAATTACATCTTGAGCTTTAAGGATAAGCATGACAGATGTAGTCCATGCAAACCAGGGTTATTACAGTTAACTAAAAATAAAACCATTAAAAATGTGTCTCTAGAAATAAAATAATGTTAACTGAAAATAAAATACAAACTTTTTTTATTTCTCATTTTAATTTAGATCAACGTCTGTACAAAAATAAAACAAACTAAAATAAAAATGTATAAACTATACAATGAAAAGAATACAAAGTAAATAGAAAAGATACAAATAAAAGATAAAGATAAAAATGTAAGAAATATAAAAAAAAAAAATAAAAAAAAAAATAACAAAAACAAACAAAAGAACTTTAAAATTAAAATATAAAAATAAAAACGAATTATAGTATTAATAAAATAATACTATATAATAATAATATCAATGATACTGAAATAACACTGATACACACACACACACACACACTTATACTACTGTACATCTAACTACATCTGAACATAAATATGAGTTGTATATATATTGCATCTAGTTATGATGCAAATGAAGGTCACTATGCAGCACGTGTAAGGTGACATGCTTCATAATGACCTTCAGGAAATGAGACACGGTGCGAAAACACTGCCAAAGACAATGAACTTCACAAAGCCACTTTGCTTCATTTGCAACAATTAGATTCAAAGTAAGAAGCGGCTTTATTTAGAAATCCCGAAGAGTAGCGCTGCCGCGTGTTCTTGAGCTCCATCGTCATGGCAACAGGTCGTCAACAGTGCTGGGAGGATGAAGCGCTCGTTTTGCTTTCCCACTTGATCTGCTTGAAATATTCTCACTAGCCCCATTACAGAAAATTAACGCTCTTTGTGCTGATATATTTTGGGAAGAGTGATATTCACACTTTGCAACAAGCTAAGAAATATTAAACATCAGTGAACTGATGGGCATATTGTGCACAGATGGCAACATACTACATTACTAGTGCGAAGAGCCATTTTAGGATGCCGAACATCATTAAAAACCTGTTGCATTGTACCGCTCGAAGAGCATTACAATCTCTGGGGACGTTTGAGATTGGAGATTTTGGGCACCCAGAATGTGCTTGACCCGCTTGAGCCTCACACCAGTGCAGTTGGAGGGAAAAGAGTCACACCTTTTTTTCATGACATTTACACCTGGAGGACCAGCATTCACTGGGAGACATAATGTAGGAGGAACTGCAAATGCTGACAATTTGAGTGAATGTAGTCAAGCTTTATTGAGGAATTCAGATCAACTCTACTGTGAATTTTCATCAAATGTTGACAGCTTAGATGGGCACTTTTGTTCAACGAATTATGACAAACTTGAATGCTCCAAGGACTACAGTAGTCAACATTTGAAGTGGATCAAAACCTTTCATCAAAGTTGTCCTAAAACCTAAAACCAAAATGCGTTCTTGTCTTAGGACAACTTTAATGAACTTTTTTGATCCACTTCAAATGTTGACTACTGTAGACGGTAGGGCTGCACGATAAATCGAAATGGAATCGAGATCGCGATTCGACAGAAGCTGCGATTGTCATGCGTATCTTTCAGTGAAGCACGGTTCTGTGATCAGCAGTAAATCTCCATCCAAAGGCCAGAGGGCGCTCTCGCGCTGAAACTCCAAATACGCCTCGCAGAAGAAACCGCTGAATAAAAAGAATCACTGCAGCTGAATAAACAGAAGATTCAACTGCTTTCATTGATTCAACGTGACTAATAAACACACGACTACGACAATATACGGTTTATCTGAGTTCTTATTATTATAATTTTCATTAAAATAAAGTATATTTATAATGCAATGCCTTTATCACTGCTTAAATACTATGAAATATGTTGCGTGCCTTATTCTGTGTAAGAAGCCACATCATCTCACAGAAGGATTTATTTCAAACACTCGACTGACGTTATGAAGTGAGTTTGGAGTAAAAATATGTTATTAAATGTGGTATTTTCACATGCTTTCAGATGGAGCAGCATTTACTTCACAGAGCCGTAGTTCACTGAGAAGCTATGCAAACAGCTGTCATTATCGCGAACGAATTCTTCAATTTCAGAATCGCGCAATAAAATTCTCTGCGATTTTTTTTTGCGTAACTTGTCAGTGAACTACGGCTATGTGTAGTAAATTCTGCTCCATCTGAAAGCACGTGATGATGATTCCCTGCTGATTACAGAACCGGCTTTACTATCAAAATACGCATGACAATCGCATTCGATTAATCGTGCAGCCCTAGTAGACAGGGTGAAAATTCTGTCATTTAATCACTCACAAACACTCAAACATGTATGAATCTTTTTCTTATGTGAAACAGAAAAAGAGAATATTTGAAGAATGTCCTAGCTGCTCTTTTCCATATAATGAAAGTGAATGGAGACTGACATGTCAAAAAATCAGCATTAAATTATTAAAAAGGTGGCCCATTTTACACTGCATTTCAAGACTTCTGAAATCATATGATGAGGACACAAGATATTCAAACCACTTTTGATGCGTTTGTAATCATTTCAGACTGCTTCAGAAAGCAGACAAGTTATGTATAAGCAAAATAGGCCAAAATCTCAAAAATGATCAGAGCATGACAAAACAAAGGTTTTGCATGTGGTATTTTGCCTTAAAAGTATTGATACATGGGGGGAATTTAAATTAAAAGGACCTATTACATACAGTACACACAGAATATAAACTACAATGTGAATCCAATGGCAGTGTGTGAATGTTTTAAACAAAAGCCATTCACCCAGAGAAGAGTTGATGCAGAGAACACAAGACAACACCCCTACACAAACACGAGCGTAAACGCATCCTCAATAATAGTTATTCTGAATCAAAATAATGGCTCTGGGGAGCTATTCTCATCATGAATAAAGTTGATGGCTTAACAAATCGGTAAACAGCAGATCTACTTCAGTCGCTGCGCTCAGTAAGTGTTTTTCAGAGTCACGTGGCCGTCTTTGAGGGCTCTTAAAATTCTCCACAGCGAAGCAACACAAAAGCACATCACCAGTTTGTGAACAAAAAGGGTTATGCACACACATATTCAACGAGCAGCAGGGCACTGGAGCAGCCGTCTTACTCCCGTACGGTTAGTCAGATCCTCTGTTCTGCTTTCATTGTGGGTAGCATGTGGTTCACAGGTTGTAAACCCGGTTGAGAAGAGGGTTTTTATTCAAACGGTGAGGGCAGCAGCCAGTGGCATTAAATCCATGTTCTGAAAGTCTGATATTGCCTCAGTTGGCCTCTATTCATTCCTGCTGGCGCAGTTCAGTGGCATAAGGGCTTTTTTCAATATCACTGGCTTCAGTTACACTTCCAGTTAAACAACGGAAATATTCACTCTTTCTCAAAATGAATTGAGAGAGCATCTCACAAAGCAATGAAATGAAAACAACCAGACTGATTGTGCGCCTGATCAGAACTCAGCCGCATCTCGTCCTTCACCCTCCATCGATCATGTATGCAGCTCATATCTAAAGCAAGAAATGCCTTTCAATATAACGAGAATATATATATATATAATGACCTGTGTACATTTTTATTTTCTATGTTATTCTTTATATGTGTGGGGAAAAAACTGTCATGCATAATAAAATATGAAATTTGAAAATTATATTTATTTTGATTTATGTTATACATCAAAACAGCATGTGAGCTGCATAATATATAGCAAATAATAAACAATTTTAATGTAAATATTTTGAATGTAGGTTATATATTATTTTTTTTATTTTATTTATTCATTTAATTTTTAATTTTTAATTTTGTATTTATTTTTGAAGAAACTGTGAAAGGTTCTTGCCCATCAATAACTCCATGCTATAATACATTGGGAAAGGTTTGGAAAAGTTTTTTTGAGTGATTTTTATTGTGTGCGGTTATAGACAAGAATAGAGATTGTCTATGACAATCTCTAGTCTTGTCTCTATGTTTTCCTCGTTCCATGTAAATCTGTTTTTTTTTTTTTAGAATCAACCATCATTTAAAACAATAAACTTACTAATCACACCTTACTCACTTCAATAACCCACATAGTGCAGGATGAGTTACATACTGTACCACAGTTTATGATTTAGTTCGGAACAATACTAATTGTGAAGCTTGAGTTAGCAAACACCACTAGTTCAACTGCCATTCATGATTTTTTGGCACTGAGATCTAGCAGGTCCTACAGGAAATTCAAATTCACAAGATGGTGCTCTAAAACACAAGGCAGCATCCCCACCAGATCTCGGGGGTTTGGAGATTCATTATGCTTCAGCCTCAGCAAGCTGGAGCCTCTAAATGACCATTTTTCTAGGATCTGTAACAAACTTCCAGTAAGAGTAAACTCATCCAGTATTCTATTCAAGTTCCTCAAAAGCTTTCCCTCATGCAGGGTTACTGGAGGCTCTTATGAACTCCATTAAGTGTTGTTCTTGAGCAAACTGCTCTTTTTGAAGGATGCGAGAAGTTCTCCAGTGGTTCTGTGCTGCTGTGAGAATGACATTTGAGGTTAAAGCTACAGTTGGGGAGGAGAGTGAACTTGTAATCAATGACTGCTTGTGTAAAGTGCATATTTACATGACAGAAAACAAGAAATCAGCAGTCTTTAAATATGTACAGCATGTCAGTCTTATTTTGTGCACGTGGCTTGAGTCTCATTAACTCTAAATCTGTTCCTGTTCTCAGTCTCAGCCTGATTCAGCTCAGAAATCACACCTGCTGAAAGCAGCTAGCTAACCATTTCTAGACATGTTTTACTCTCAGTGATAAATATAGCTACATAATGAATGTTAGTCTATTTGACTAATTACTTAATAATTACTGGTGTTATGATCCAGCAGGCAGACGAGTGCAGATGTAATCCGGTGCTACTGTGATCAGAAAGCACTAGATGCTGGAATATTTTCACGAGATAACAGCTGTTTAAGTGCACACTACTGTACCTAAACTTACAAAGACAACAAGGGAGTTTTCCTCTGAAATGTTTTCCACTATCCATTCTTCATTTAAGAGTAAAGCAGCTCCCCGAGACTGATGTTGAAATTGACTTTTATTGTTGATATACTGCATGTGTTTTTCCTCATGCACTTTGCTTGGATAAAAGTGTCTGCAAAGCATATAAATGTTTTCCCTGATATGTCTTGACAATGGACTTACAACAGGTATTTCAGAGGAAGCCTAGCAAACTGTATTGTACAGACTCTCCCTGATGGTTCATTTGTCTTATTAGTGTGCTCAGTACATCCCTCTTTCGCAATCCCTCTTTCATTTGTAAGAAAAAAACCTGCTTCATTTCACCCTAAAACCAATAGAGAAAAAAAGAAAGCCCATTAAGATTTTTTTTAACAATTCCCATTATTTTTATTGTAGATTCTAATTACTATTATACAGTATTTTTCTTACTGCATTTCAGTAAAAATTACTGTAATTTTTACATTCCATACATTCTAGAAATATTACTATAGTGTATAAATCATTTTGAATAGAAATAAATATTTAATAACACATTATTATAAAATAAATATATAATAAAACACTTAAGTAATACTGTTAATATTATTAACAACATTATAATTATATTATATATTATAAATATCTTCATAATCTTATATATATATATATATATATATATATATATATATACATACATACACACATATGGGTAACAATACATCACAGTAATAACTATACATTTATAAATTATGCATAATTACATGCACCTAACCCTATAATAAGTACATAGAGTTAATTGGTATTACTCAGTATATACAAACCCGATTCCAAAAAAGTTGGGACACTGTACAAATTGTGAGTAAAAAAGGAATGGAATAATTTACAAATCTCATAAACTTATATTTTATTCACAATAGAATATAGATAACATATCAAATGTTGAAAGTGAGACATTTTGAAATGTCATGCCAAATATTGGCTCATTTTGGATTTCATGAGAGCTACACATTCCAAAAAAGTTGGGACAGGTAGCAATAAGAGGCCGGAAAAGTTAAATGTACATATAAGGAACAGCTGGAGGACCAATTTGCAACTTATTAGGTCATTTTCTCAGTTTAAACATTTGATATGTCATCTATGTTGTATTCTGTATGTTGTATTTGAAACTTTCACATCATTGCATTCTGTTTTTATTCACAATTTGTACAGTGTCCCAACTTTTTTGGAATCGGGTTTGTAAAAGTATAATCACAATGTAACAAGGACACCTTAAAATAAGTGTAACCTACATATATATTATATTATATTATATTATCTACCTTAGTTTAAAGTGTTGTTTAAAAAAAAAAAAGAGTACAAATCTGCACTTACTGTATAACGTCTTACAACTTTTATGATTCCCAAAACATTTGAAAGCACTGTTGTAACTTCCATTATGAAATACACAAGATTAAATCTAACTTATTAATTATTAGATTTAACTTATTTTGATGAGTTAAAGTAATGTAAAAACACATATTGGCATAACTTATTGGTCATATAATTTTTTTACAGTGTAATTCATATCCAATGTGTTTAATTTTTGAAGGTCATATAAAAGTGTTAATTTTCACTGAGCAAAACATAATTTCTTGTTTTTTGACTTTAGGGGGGAAATATGACCCGGACATGTTCTTGACAGGTTTCGTGAGATTCACCCGAGAACAGCGAGTCTCCTGTTCAGTTCTTGAGCAGCGAGAGAGAAGAGGTCCTGCTGGGGCAACAGCGTAACAGACGGGAGAGAGAGACAGAGAGAGAGGGAGAGAATGGCAGATGGTGTTCACAGCTCTATTTCTGATACTGGACCTTGACCATGAGCCCACTCCCCTCCCTCTCTCTCTCTCTCTCTCTCTCTTCAAATCCAGCCCTTCCTCACTCGTGCCTTCAAACCCTCTGACATTTTCTCATCTCCCTTTGACTCTCATTTTCTTGTCATTGTGCCTCAATATTTAATCTATTCCAAAGAGCCGCCATTCTTCCATTCATCCGGATTTAACGTTTGGGTTTTGTTGTAGAGTCACTCTTAGATGTAGGTCATGTGATTAAATTACATAATCCCAGCGCATGCTGTTAGAATATGCTTTCTGGCATGTATTTAATTCAGTTCTTAAAAAGGTTAGAGGCAGCGCAGTGTTGTGCTGGTAAATAGCTTACATCTTCTTTCTGTTGGGTTTATTAGAGGATTATCTGGCTTTTGTCAAAAGATGTTATCTTGGCAAGGAAACCGTTCAAAACCATTCCAATACGATGCCTTCCAAAGTCTGCGTGATTTAAATCATTATATTTTCTAAGCAGTTGTATTAAATGAAGGCTGAACCCAGTGCGGTTTTCGCAGCGGTAATTGAAATGAGTGCCGTTTCAGGCCCAAGAGCGCGCTGTGAAACAGTTCAGTGTGATCTTATGCTCCACTAACTCTCCACGTCTCTAAATTAACTCACCCGGTGTCTTAATCCACTCGCAACCCGACCATGTGACCTCCCGAACCCAGACCGCAACAGTTACCATAGCGATATTCATTACCACCATTATCTCATTACTCACCTCACTGGCCTAATAAATTACAACTCTTAAAGCAGGGCACATTTATTTAGCAGATTTCATTCAGTTATATTTTAAATGCAGACGAAGAATTCACTGGGCAAAACTGCTGGGCAGAATTTTAAACGTTTTCAAACATTAAGCAAGGGATAGTTCACCAAAAATGACAATTCTGTCAGCATTTACTCACCCTCATGTCATTCCAAACTTGTATGAGTTCATTTTTCTGTTGAACTCAAAAGAAGATATTTTGAAGAATGTTGGGAATCAAATAGTTTTGGTTACTATAGACTTCCACATGGACAAAACATTAAATGGAAGTCAATGGGAACCAAAACTCTTTAGTTTCCAACATTCTTCAAAATATCTGCAAAAATATATTTTGACATGAAGGTGAGTAAATGATGACAAAATTTCATTTTTGGGTGAACTACACCTTTAAGGATTTCTTCCTTATGTTCTTCTCAGCCCTAGTATAGTGACCTATTTTTAATTTGAAATATTATTTTTAAATGTAATTTCTTCCTGTGATTGTAAAGCTGAATTTTCAGCATCATTACTCCAGTCTTCAGTGTCACATGATCCATCAGAAATCATTCTAATATGCTGATTTGCTGCTTGATAAACATTTCTTTTTACATTTATCAATGCTGAAAGCAGTTGTACTGCTTCATATCTTTGATGAACAGAAAGTTCAAAACAACAGCATTTACTTGAAATAGACATTTTTGTCTACATTGTCTACAATCTAGTGGTTTAATTTTTGATAAATTTATTGTGGTCTTGCTGACTATTATTATCTTAGTTTTAATTTATTTCAAAACAACGACAAACATAAAAAGCATAAAAGTTATCATTTATTGTAACGAAACCGCACAAAAAAACAACTTTTGAATAAAAAAAAGATATATATATTTTTTATTTGAATTCAACAAGTTCCCCTTCAGGAACTCGAGCTGCGTCGGAAAACGCTAGGGGAACACCTTCAGCGATACCAAGCTCTGAATCATATGTGTAATCAGTCGAATAGATGGGCGAGACGTCAGAGGCGGGTGACGTCATGACCAGGAAGCTTTAAAAGCACGTGAGGTGCAGCCGGCGCTAGCTTTCTGTCATTCAGCAAAGCTCTCTGTGTGTGTCGGTCACGATCTATGTTCTGTGAGTCTTATTTATTGTTGTCTGTCCAAAAAAAGTTGCACAAGCATTCAGAAATATAAGCTCCAGCAGAAGATGTCTAAACTAAAGACAAAAAAGGGCGAAAGCAGATCACGTTACAGACTGTGTGTTCCTCCCTGCCCACGCTATATCACGAGCGGGGATACACACAGTTTGTGCGTGGTCTGCTTGGGAGCAGAGCACGTGACGTCGGCTCTTGAGAGGGCCGACTGTCCGCATTGTGAGCAGTTGCCTCTGTGTTTGCTTCGCTCCCGGAAGGCTCTCTTTGAGGAGGGAGCCTTCACCAGCGTTCCTCACGGTGCTGGCCCCGCACTGCGAACCACTTCAGCGCTGGTGGGCAAGGAGTACTCGGCAGCGGGTCAGGCGGGTGCGTGTCTGCACACTATGTCAGTGTTACAGGCGTACCAAGCCAATCTGCTGAAAGAACGATGGCGGTTCGGCATCGAGATGTCGTTCTCGCTCATATGGAAAAATTGGGGTTAAGACTAAACGCCAAGAACAGTGTGCTTTCTCCATTACAGAGGACCACTTATCTGGGCGTGGTGTGGGATTCGACCACGATGCTGATACCTTTTGGCCTGCTGTACATGAGACCCCTACAGTGGTGGCTCAAGACCAAGGGGTTCTCCCCGAGGGAAAACCCGCTTCGCATGATCAAGGTCACACGGCGATGCCTACATGCCTTAGACATGTGGAGGAAACCTTGGTTCTTGTCCCTTGTGTGGTCCTAGGGGAAGCTCCTCTCGCTGAGGGCAGTTCATATTCCTGGACATCTCAATATGGGAGCAGACATCCTGTCGAGGCAGGGGCCGAGGCCCGGGGAATGGATGCTTCAGGCGTGGACATCTCGTTCCCCTAGCGTTTTCCGACGCAGCTCGAGTTCCCGAAGGGGAATGTCCCAGGTTACGTATGTAACCATGATTCCCCGAGGGAACGAGACGCTGCGTCGCAAGGCCATACTTCCGGCATCCCTACTAGAGCTTGCTTCACTCCTAAGAAGCTAGCGCCGGCTGCACCTCACGTGCTTTTAAAGCTTCCTGGTCATGACGTCACCCACCTCTGACGTCTCGCTCATCGATTCGACTGATTACACATATGATTCAGAGCTTGGTATCGCTGAAGGCGTTCCCCTAGCATTTTCTGACGCAGCGTCTCGTTCCCTCTGGGAACCATGGTAACATACGTAACCTGGGACGTTTGTGCGGTATCGTTACAATAAATGACAACTTTTATACTTTTTATTTTTAAAAGTGTCCAAAGTCACCACCAATTATATGGCCTTTGTGTCACATTATTAATATTAATAGTAGAGCGGGTACAGGATATGATAATGGAGAAGAAGTGAGGACTGCATAAGCACCAAAGCTTGACAACATTCATTTTATAGTGTAAATAACTAAAAAGGAACTAAAATGACTCAAAATGAATACAGTTTAACTATAATTAAATTACAGTGCTCAACAAACCACATAAGCCAATGTACTGTACCAGTGATAAATAAGCGGATCGTAACAGAAAGACTCCAAGACAGTCGTGTTTGGACAGCGTCTACTTGGGGGCGTCTCTGCTCCACTGACCCTCAGCTAAATGCACTCACCAAACAAGTCATTCATAGGGCTAATATTGGTCAGAAAAAGTTAATTAGTGTGGGTAATAAGATGAGTTTGCTAATACAAACAGTCCATTTCATTAAGTGAGAACATTAAGCACTGGACTGGTTGACACTTCCCAAAACCCACACACATCTCTGTAGGCCAGGCTTGAGTGAGTCTCATTATTAACCCAAAAGGTACTTTATTACTCACACCACTAGCTAAAGAAACAATCACCATGACCTATTTGAGCAGGATTAAGTTTAATCTAAATGCCAAAACATTACTTAACTGAAGGAGGCAGGATATGCTCTGACTCTTTACGAGATCCTGAGCAACGAGAACATTGAGAATGAGTTACTGGTAAAGAAGCCAATGAGGTGGGGGAGGATTATGACTGTGAAAATTCAATAAATGCTAATTAGGCTCTCGCGGAGCCTCACCAGCCTTGATCCCTATATCTCTAGCTCTCTACTAGTTATATTACAAAATATATATGAACAGTTGTCTGAATTGCTACAATTTAAGTGGTTGATGCAGACAAGCAACTCCAAATGTATTGCATAAATATAATGAAAATGTCCCTGACACTTGCTTAAAATGATGCTATAACATTGCATAAGGGAGTGTGACGAAGTCCAGAAGTCTGGTTGACTATCCTTGTGGGGACTCTCCATAGGCATAATGGTTTTTATACTGTACAAACTGTATTTTCTATCTCTCTACACCAACCCTACACCTAACCCTACCCCTCACAGAAAATGTTGTGCATTTTTTAAATCTCAAAAAAAAAAAAAAATAAAACTCATTCTGTACGATTTATAAGCTTTTGTACCCAAGTCCCCATGAGTCGGTGTGTATTCAGGTTTAAGTCCCCACCAGTGTAGAAAAACATGTACAGACACACTGGTATTCCTATCATTATGGGGACTCATAATGGTTTTTATACTGTACAAACTGTATTTCTATCTATGTATCTATCCCCTAACCCTACACCTAAACCTACCCCTCACACAAAACTTTCTGCTATTTTAGATTTAAAAAAAAAACTTAATTCTGTATGATTTATAAGCTTGTTTCCTCACAGGGACCTAACAAATGTCCCCACACAAGGTCAAAATTGACTGATATTACTATCCTTGTGGGGACATATGGTCCCAATAATGCAGGGAATACCAGGACGCATGCACGCACACACACACACACACACACACACACACACACACATTCTCGTCGCTTCATAACATTACGGTTGAACCACTGATGGCAGATGGACTATTCTGACGATGTCTTTCATACTTTTCTGGACCTTGACAGTATAATTTACTAGGCAGTTAATCGGACAGTCACAAGCCTCCCGGTTTTCATCCAAAAAATCTTAAATTGTGTTCCGAAGACGAACAAAGCTTTTAGGGGTTTGGAACGACATGGGGGTAAGTGATTAATGACAGAATTTTCATTTTGGGGTGGAGTATCCCTTTAATATCCTAAGTACATAAGAAGTTAAAAAGAACTAATTTATATTTATAAACGTGTATCCTGCAGGCAAAATGGCTTATTACTTCAAATTGGAAAAGTATACAAAATATAGGAGTTT